CGTACATTAGCATACGGAGTCTGCCTGTGCATTAAAGTATTCTTGCCTCCGAGAGACTGCGGCCCGCTACAAATTTTGGTTCATTCTATACCTAACTGTGTTACTTTACACGTTTCTCGGACCCCCATGGCTTAACCCGCTACAGCTCCGTGCGACGAATCAAGATGAGAATCATGTTTCTTGCCTTCCTGGGCTTGGCCCTGCTTATTAGCCTGCAGCACAGTCAGGGTGCTAGCGTGGATCACCCTTCTCTCCGCACGGCACTCACTGGAGACTCCAATGGCGATTCCAAGCGACCCGCTACCTACACGTATACTACCGGTGGTGATGGCGAAGCTGATGAGGACGACGACATGCAGGCTACTGACCAAGACAAGGAGGGTATTCCCCAAAACCAGCAGTGTTTGATTTTCGCCGGCACGCAGTTGGCAGACGGCCGAACCCTGAGTGACTACAACGTTCAGCAGGAGTCCACTATTCACTTGGTACTTCGTCTCCGTGGTGGGATGCAGATTTTCGTCCACACTCTTCCTGGCTAGACCATCACTCTTTACGTCGCGCAAAGCGATGCTATCGACAATGTGAAGACCATGATTCAAGACGAGGAGGGAGGTTATTTGTCTGACGCCGAGCTAGCCGCTCTGAGTGACCGGCTCAACCAAGATGAAGATAAAACCTGGCTCTCCCTCCGCCATAGCTCCAGCCGCCGCCGTGGTTACTAACGCTGATTCCAGGTGTGGCATTTTCTTTCCTGTCTTCCTTCAGTCTCCCTGTTCTCTTCAGTCTTCCTTTATGCGAGTGTGTGAATCCAGTTTAGTTTGGTAGGCGTCTGATCATGGTGAGCCACGGTTTACCCAGCTAACGTGGGACAATGTGTGTGACAACGCCCCTTATAGTTATAGTGTATTCAGTTCGGTTTTTGAACTGCGATGTTCCTGGCGGGTTGTGCCAGCGTTGTGCAGCAAGAGTGCTGTGGTTTTTCAGGTCCTATTTGGAGGACAGTTCTTTCCCCTTTTGACCCCATGAGATCGTGTGAACCTGGTGTGCTTCTACTTTATGATTTGTTAACAGTTCATTCTTCTGTCTATTCCAAACGTTATCATTTCCAGAACGTTTTCTTGTCACAATTATCAATGGAATTCGTGACTAAAGAGAATGATGAAACTACAATAGGATTTATACACTTGGAGTGAAACAGCGAGGATACAAGCATAGTAAGAAAAATAGCACAAACCTAGGAACAATTTGCACAGGCCTTTTCATTATCGAGACAGCACATGAAAGCCCGGTCAGAATTGAAAGCGAACAAGGATATAGTCATCACGAGACCGGACAAAGGCCGCGCCACTGTAGTCATAAGTCGAACTGAAAATAAGTCCAAAATGGCCAAATGTTTGGATGACAGGACCAAATTTGAGTTGCTTGGGCCTGTATCAACGCACGACCGAACTCTAATCCGAGAAAAGCAACTAGAGAAATACCTGCAGACACTGAAAAACACAAATGAAATATTCGCATCTAAATTTGCACGGATAAAGCCAATCGGTTTGGTGCGACCTAGGATGTATGGCTTGCCAAAAATTCACAAGCAATCTTGCCCGCTACGTCCGATACTCTCCATGACTGGCTCAGCGGAAAACAGAATATCCAAATGGCTGTGTATGATGATCCAGCCAGTGCTGGATTTCTACTGTAAGCACAACGTCAAAGACACCTTCCAGTTTGTTGAAATCTTACATGAGAACCCAGTTCCATCTTCTGCGCACATGTGTTCCTTTGATGTTGTCAGTCTGTTTACAAACGTACCATTATCCGAGACAATCAATATCTGTGCTGAAACACTGTACCACAACAAGGAAATAAAAGATGTACCATGGCTGTCCGAAGCGGCTTTTCGCCGCTTGATGTTGATGGTTACCATGGTTACGAGTGGTGTGAAGTTTTCACTTGACGACATCATGTATAAACAGACGGATGGCGTGGCTATGGGTTCTCCATTGGGTCCGGTCCTAGCCAATGTGTTTGTTGGGTACTGTGAATCGAAGATAGATAAGTGGCCGGAATTGTACGTCAGGTTTGTGGATGACTCCTTCACGTACTTTGATTCGAGAGCAGACGCTGACGACTTTCTGCTGAAACTGAATACAATCCATCCTGCACTGAGATTTACGTGTGAACATGAAGAGTCCAATAAGCTATCGTTTCTGGATGTGTTAGTCGAAAAGACCCAGACTGGTGTATTGACTACAGTATACCGTAAACCCAATTTCACCGGGCAGTACATGATGTTTGACTCGTTCTGCTCTTCCCAGTACAAGTCAAACTTAGTTAGTAACCTTGTAAATAGGGCACAACGCATTTGTTCACCAACAAAGCTACAACAGGAACTTGATTTTCTACGCTCCGTATTTGTGAAGAATGGCTACCCGCAGCAGCTCCTCGACAAACTTCTAACAACTACACCTGTTGTTAAGGAATGAGCTATCGGACCGTTGCCGTGCCGCGTATTTCTTTGCTTGCCCTGGAAAGGGAAAGAATCGAAGGACACGGCCCGTGTGGTGAAATCCCTAGTGGAGAAAACCTACTTTGCCACCAATGTGGTTACCTTGTTCACTACGATCCGTTCGTTCACGATGTTGAAGGATGTCCTACCAACCCTACAATTGAGTCACCTCATTTACTACTTTGAATGCCGACAATGTGGTAGTCGGTATGTTGGTAGGACCCTTCAACATCTGTCCGAACGTATCAAACAACACGTGCCGCTCTCACTATTGTCACAGGCGGCTAGGTCCTCCCGACCAAAGCGTGGCCGACCACGTAAGCACCCGACTCCACTGTCCGTTCCGGCAGAGGCTTCTGCTCCACAAACGGTGTCTCGGAAAAACCAACACAACACGCAGAAATCGGGAACAAACATTAATGTAAACGAAGATGAAGACTGTGTCTTATCTTCATTATCAGCGAGTACAGGTACGCCGGACGCATACAACCGCAACTCACCAAAGCTGAGAAGGAGCAAACGGCTGGCGGCAGCTCGGTTTGCAGAGGTGACTGGAAAGATGCATCGAAACTCTCCGGATATGGATGATGCCAGCGGAAGTGTTGATGACTGTCAGGTGTTTGTCAATGGCAAGGGAAGACCGGTCAGGAAGAGAACGCGACGGCAGCTGGAGGAGGAGTGTGGAAGCGACGTGTGCAGTGACGATGAGGAACCCGGTGGTCAGTTGCTGGGAGAGCCGACGACAGGTGAAGGTGGCAGCGATGATGAGGAGGGCGATGACGATGATGACGATAATTGTGCAGATGGTGTGAAGGACGGTGGCGGTCAGAAACCAAGTGAAGGCAGAGGCGGTGAGAAGAAGAAGAATACATCGGCAATTAAATTGCATTTGTTGTCCAACCCCGTGTGTCGTGAAAGTTATGATGATTCTTGGTTCAGTGTTGTTCGTTCTGCAAGTAGTTTCAAGCAGTTGAAAGTTCTAGAAGCAATCTACATTCGTATTCGTGATCCAAATCTTTGTAAACAAAAAGAAAATGTCACCGCACTTACGCTAACTTATTCCAGTAAATTCGCACTCACACACACTTGCACATGCATGTCCATTGTCACACTGCACTTGCTGAATTTCCTATCATTTCTCACCTCACCTATAGTTTATTACCTGTGCAAATTGTTCCTAGGTTTGTGCTATTTTTCTTACTATGCTTGCATCCTCGCTGTTTCACTCCAAGTGTATAAATCCTATTGTAGTTTCATCATTCTCTTTAGTCACGAACTCCATTGATAATTGTGACAAGAAAACGTTCTGGAATACATTATTTGTCCCCATGGTTGTGATATGAGTGCGCATTTAGTTATATTCATTGCATTATTAAGATTATTGTCTCCATGTCGCCTTGTTATCATTTCCGATATTATTTGCCATACTCCGGTTGACGCTCTCCCAGCAATTCACGATCTACTATAATGTTCACGACTCCA